TGCTCCTGCAGAGCCGCCGTCTCTCGCAGAGCGGTCTCGCGCAGCCGCAGCCGGGAGCGCTTCGCCGAGGCGCGCGCGCGGGCGCGGGACGCCAGCGCCGCCCTGCTGTCGCTCGCGGCGGTCGGGGGCAGGTCGGGATCCTGCCGAGGCCCCTTGCGGACGCGAGTGGTCCAGAGTTTGCTCCTCCCCATGTCTTCGCCAACCTCCGCTGTCTTCCTCCTCCTCCTCCTCCTCCTCCTATTCCTCCTCCTCCTCCTCCTCCTCCTCCTCCTCCTCCTCCTCCTCCTCCTCCTCCTCCCCCTCCACCTCCTCCTCCTCATGTATTCCTTGTCCTTATAAATAACCTTTCCCTGTCGCACCCCGAGGCCAGTCTTTAGGGTTGGACGGTCGTTTCGACTAAGATTTTCTCACCAGTCATGACCCTGAAGCTTGAATGTTGACAACAGTTTCACAGATGGGGGGCGGGTGGTTCTCAAGATGTGGCCTTCGCTCTAGCGCAAAAGTTTCACGGGTTGAGGATGGGCCGTTTTCAAATGTGGTTCTCGCCTTAGCGCCGCGCGCATTCGGTTTGAAAGGTTGCAAGAGTTTACGTACTGAGGGCGGTTATTTTCCAACACGTGGCTCTCGCTTTAGCGCCGCGCACAGTCGTTCTAAACATTTGCAAGTGTTTCACGGATTCCCACGACTAACGTGCCAGAAATTGGAATTGGAATGATTCAGGACTATGAGAGTGCAACAGTTACGCTTGCTCGCGGCGTTGAGGTCCCAGGAATGGCTTTCTGGTACGAGTCAGGATCATCAAGACGCAACTGTCAAGTTGATCCATGACGTTGGAGTCCCTAGACTAATGTTCTGGCATGCTTGAGAGTTTTCAAACGGTTGTCTTCCAACGAGGCATTTCTGAACCGTTGTAGGGGGCCTATGAAGAGGGAGCTTGGAGGGAAGTTCCTTCCAACATCGTTGACGACTCTTGGGTTAACACTGCTCTTCCTCCTCCTTCTCCTCCTCCTCCTCCTCCTCCACTCCCTTTTCCTCCGGCCTGCCTCGTTTGTTCCTTTCCTCCTCCTCCTCATCCCCCTCCTCCTCCTCCTCCTCCTCCTCCTCCTCCTCCTCCTCGCTCTCCTCCTCCTTCTCCCCCTCCTCCTGGAGGGAGAAGCTCACACGGCCAACAGTGGACAAATGGATACGTGTTGCAGGTCGGCACTGGGACGCGGCCCTGGCAGGTAGCAGCTGCCAACGAGAAGCCGCCGCGCGCATCCTGGGCGACGAGATCTGTGACGCACTACAGCTTGCGCATGCCACCACATTGGCAGACATCATAAGGTTCTATGACATGCTGGACATCATACAAGTGGTATACGCGACCAGGCACATGTGGTTCCCCCCACGGGTACTGGCGCTAGAACTCCAGCTCCACACCTTCGAGCGCTTCCTACGACAAGCCTCGACATACGGTCGGCCAATCCTACCTTCCCGCTCTTTGGTGGCAGGATCCCGACATGCGAATAACGTCGCCAGAACAGTCATGTACCAGGTGCTCCACCGCATACACTACCAAGTCCCAGCAGCGATGCCTAGGGCATGGTTTGACGACGTGGAGCTCCGAGCGACAGGAAGCAAGCAGCGAGTCACCGATACTATCAGCCAAGAAACCACCACCTACGCACGATGCCTGAGCGAACAGGGGCTCGAGATGGCAGACAAGAGTGTAATCATCAGCGCCGACATGAATATGACCCACTCCATCTGCAAGCACGTGCGACAGCAAGGCATTAAGCTCAAGGCGGCAGCCAGTGGCCGAGACCCCGGACAGGATCGGGCAGGACGCACGCCAACGAGCAGACCGACAAATAGCAAGCGACGCCGGCAAGCAACAGGGCGCCTACGAAACATAGCGCTGAAGCTGCGGCGGCTACGAGCACAACGCAAGAGAGCCCTGATCACTCAGGGCCCCATGGTCTCCTACCTCTACAGATGCAGAGTATACGGCGAGGCGCCGACATTGATTACGACAGCAAGACGACGGTGCGCCATGGCATTGGGGAAGCGTTGGGCGGGCAGATGCCTCCACACCTACCTCACCCTGGCGGACGCGGACCCAGCTACAGCCATCTTCCGAGGAGTGATGGACACATGGTTCGACGTCTGGGGCCGTCGCGACCACCTACACCAGGGAACTCACCAAGCATGGCCAGTTGTTTACCAGCGCCTCCACAACGTGCCTCCCATCTACCGGTGGAAGCAGCGACGAGGCCTCATTGGAAAGGTCATACTATCACTATGTGAGATCGGCTGGGATGCAGTATCTCCGACAGAATGGATTGACAACCAGGGTAACCTATGGCAGGTGGGAGACGACGACCACCGCGGGGACCCTGCCGACGTGATCCACGCCACTTTGGAAGCACATCAACTCCAGCACTGGGCCAAGGCATCTAATCATTGGCTTGGCAAAGGCTCCGAGTTCGGCATCGGCACATACGACCTCAGCGGGAAGTTA